CCCCCCTCGCAGCGCGGGTGTCGTATGGGCCGGCCCATTTTCCTTTTTTTTGCGTTTTTTTCTTCTTTTTCCTTTTTTTTATTTTTTCCTTTTCTGTTCTCCTTTTTATTTCTCTTTTTTCTTTTTCACCTTTTTTGCGAATTTTTCTTTTCAAATTCAGGAATTTTTTTCTTCATCGAATGTAATTTTTTTTGCCGAATACAAAATTTGTTCATCTATTTTTTCAAAAAAAATAGAAATTTTTATTCATCAAGTTAAAAAATGTTCATTTGATTCAAAAATTGTTCATCGAATACCAAATAAATGTTCATCATTATTGAAAGACAATCATAAAAATATGTTCATCGGGATTTAAAAAATGTTAATAAAAATTCAAATTTTATTCATCATATTCAAATTATGTTCATCATTTCCAAAAAATGTTCATTCTTTTGAATCACAAATATTTTTGAATTCAAGAACTGTTTTTGGTAATTCACAATGTTTTGAAATTTTAGAACCAATCCCAAATTAGTTTAAAATAGAATAAAACAAAAACAGAAAATAAGGAAAGGTAAAAAATGAAAACGAAAAAGGGGGGCGCCCTACCCCGCGCATGGGCCGACCCAACAGGGCGCGCGGGGGTGGGGGTGCGTGCTGCCGCGCGATTGGGGGAGCCTCATGCGCCTAATAGCTGGGTGTAGAAGAACGATTTGGAAAATTACTAGAGTCCTCCTATTCAGCGTTATATTTGGGCCGGATGCCCATTTAGTTCGGTGTCGTCCAGAGCTCTGAAGATATTTACCATCTATTCTTCACGTGTATTCACTCAAGAGGTATGTGGAGCCGACTTGGATTGAAAGATTTCATCAACACCGCAACAAATGTTGATAGATCTGGATCGGTTATTGTGAAGAATATCTTATCTATTGATCAAATGCCACTACCTCTAATGTCGGCATTGGAGATTAAACAGGTCATAGTGGTGGGATGTTGGTACCTCTAGTGGACACGCCGCCTTATAACACATAATGAGAGTTGCCCGCTGGTGGTAAGATGGCCTTTGTCGGTCTTGACAATTACAAGCAACTATCAAAGAGCCGTGGCGAAGATAGTTGTGACAGAAGAGGACATATGGTTGAAGCCAGACCCAAAGTTTATCAAACTTAATGTGGATGCAGCCTTTTTTGCGGAGGAAGGAGTTGGAGCTACCGCATCAATTATTAGAGATGAATGAGGTATTTTTCCTTGCAACTCAATGTAAGTTTATCCCATATGCAGCGGACGCAATGACATCATAGGCAATGGCGATGAGAGACGGACTGAACTTGGCAAATAGCTTAGGGTTCCAGCGAGTTGAAGCGGAATCTGACTATCTAACAGTGATCAACTGCTGCTCTGGTCAGAGTAGTTGGTGGGACGCGGCGGCGGCGACATTCGTGGAATGTGTCGACGTCTCTACTTTGATTGGGAAGGTCAACTTTAAGCGTTGTTTTCGATCAGCAAATTAAGCGCCGCATGTGCTAGCTAATTTTAGTTATTATAATAAACTTTCTTCTAGTTGGACCGACGAGCCTTCAAATTGTCCGGTGAGCAACCTCATAGACGATGTATCTTTATTTATTAATCAATAAAGCTAGCCATGATGGCTTTTTCTCAAAAAAAATCGATGTCATCATATTCCGAACAATGCCCACGTTATCTCCCAAAATCGCCTAACGCTAAAAAAAATGTATACATATTGCGCACATGTCATAAGCTGCGCTTTGGTGCTAAAACTTCAAATGGGACGCGCTTCAGTCTCAAACTTGGCATGCCTGTGACGAAATCATCACCGACCAATCACGGCGTGTGCCCGCTGGCACCCACATCAGATGTGTTTGTCGAGCCGGCCATGCTCTAAACAGCCGATGCAACGTTGCTGATACCCCCCACGGTCTATGGGCTTGCAACCCGCAGTCCTTGAACTGTTAACCCCCTCCTTGAACTTACGAACTCGCAATGAGCGATCCAAAAAAAAAGACAAATGCAGCGGCAACATAGGCCACATGCATATAATGTATAAAATACTTACTAAAACAACCAAAAAGTAATGTAGATAAAATTTCATGCATATAAGCATTTCTGCACTATTGTAACTAAAACTTCCCGCAAACCTCGTCAAATATTTGCACATATCGGTATGGATCCTCCGCGTCGTCATCTGTAAATTGCTTACTCCGCGCCAGTCCGAGTAACTTGGATTAATTTAAGTTTCATCGTTGGGTCTCAGGCCTAAAGATGTGATGATTTCTTTAAAGGGGGGTTCGAGATCTTTATTGCAACGAGTTGATACAGATGTTCAAACTCGGTCATGGATATTAGAACCTGTAAAATAACTTAGTACACAAATAAACCAAAACTTTAAATAAAGACCAAAGGCTCTTAGCTCCATGACATCAACACCAGGAAAAACTTGATGTTCTACAAATGCATATGGTTGACTTGTAGTCTTCTAAGTAAGAGTATCAATCTCATAAGTAAGAGTATCAATATCATAGAGCGCTTAGGAAATGGTTTTTGCCTCTTATAGAGGTTTACCAAAGTGCCTGTAAGTCATCTTTGGCCCAAGAAAAAGTGATGCAAAAGTACAAATATTGAAAGAGTGTTTTGACAAGAATTAAATTAAGCAAATAATGAACGAGAATACGCAGCCGCCTCCTCCCCCAAGAAATGCTTAGGGCACCTCTGCCTACCACCGCCGCCGCAGTCGCCGGTCCGCCTCATCTCCGGGGGCCTTACGGCCATGGCGGCGCGGTGGATCGTGGCCCTTGCCTATGAGGGCTTTGTTTTTAGATGTTCCTTCGAGTTTTGTTAAGGTTTGTCTCCTACTCAGGAAGATGAGATGGCGGCGGCTCCCTGAAGATGGAACAAGATTCTCCCTGCCTAGCCCCCATACTGGTGGTGTGTCTAGCATCGTTGGTGGGCGTGTGGAGGTGTGTCTCCGACGGATCTGGCCTTGGCGGATTTGCTCGGATCTGGTCATAGTTCGTCAAATTTTATGTTTCTTCAGGTTGGATCCTTCCGATCTACGCTACTTTTTATCGGCGGCAGTTGTTGTTCTTTTGCGCTGGTCCTATGGGGCCTTAACACGACAACTTCCCGACTGTATACTACAACAAGTTTTGTCCGGCTCCGACGAGGGAGGAGCGATGACAACTGCGCGCCTCCGACTTGCTTCAGTGCTTGCAGTCGTCGCTAGGTGGTCTATGAATCTGGATGTATTTTTTTATTATTTCTGATGCTCGTTGTACTGCCATGATCGAGGATGAATAGATTGGAAGTTTTCTTGCAAAAAAATGAACGAGAGAGTAAATGAAGTGATGAAATCTTTAATAGGGCTAAGGTGTTCTCAAGGAGTCCAGATTCACAACTAGTATGTTTGTTACTTATTTTCGCACAGTTCTGGGTTCAGATAACTTATCCACTTCTATATGTTTCTCATGTGGGTAGAGCCAAATAAAGATATGTACAAATGTATTGTTGCGACTTTGTATCAGGCTCGACACCACCATTCCTTCCCCTGTCGAGTGAAGGCAAAGATGATTAAGGGTCTATCCGTCGACGCGGCAAATGACTTTGGTGTCTCTGTTATGTCTTTTACCAAAGGTTTGCGAAGCAGGGAGATAACTTCTGTCACCACAATACCCCCTCTTCCCATCTCCGCAATGATAGTAACGTCCTTTACTACTTGCAAATGAATAGTGTAGCATGTTACTGCTTTCGGTTAATCCTATTCTGTTGCATAGCCTGTCATTGTTGCTACATCTGTTGATACCTTACCTGTTATCCTAATGCTTAGTATAGGATGCTAGTTTATCATTAGTGGCCCTACATTCTTGTCAGTCTGTTATGCTATACTATCGGGCCGTGATCACTCGGGAGGTGATCACAGGTATATACTATACATACATACTATTTATATGGTGACTAAAGTCGGGTTGGCTCGTTGAGTACCCGCAAGTGATTCTGATGTGGGGGCTAGAAGGACAGGTGGCTCCATCCCGGTAGAGGTGGGCCTGGGTTCCCGATGGCCCCCGACTGTTACTT